CCCAGCCTGTAGCAGTGCATGGGATTCTTCTGTCCTACGTGCAGGACTCTGCACTTGTCCTTGTTGAACCTCATCAGATTTCTTTTAGCCCAATCCTCCAATTTGTCCAGGTCACCCTGGACCCTATCCCTACCCTCCAGCTTATCTACCTCTCCCCCCAGCTGAGTGTCATCTGTGAACTTGCTGAGGGTGCAATCCATCCCATCATCCAAATCATTAAAGAAGATGTTGAACAAAACCAGGCCCAGAACAGACCCCTGGGGCATTCCCCTTGATACTGGCTGCCAACTAGACATCGAGCCGTTGATCACTACCCATTGAGCCCGACGATCTAGCCAGCTTTCTATACACCTTATAGTCCCTTCATCCAATCCATACTTTTTTAACTTGCTGGCAAGAATACTGTGGGAGATGGTATCAAAAGCTTTGCTTAAGTCAAGATATATCACATCCACCGCCTTCCCCATATCAACAGAGCCAGTTATCTCATCATAGAAGGCAATTAGGTTGGTCAGGCATGACTTGCCCTTGGTAAATCCATGTTGACTTTCCTGATCACCTTCCTCTCCTCCAAGTGCTTCAAAATGGATTCCTTGAGGACCTGCTCCATGATTTTTCCAGGGACTAAGGTGAGGCTGACCCATCTGTAGTTCCCTGGATTCTCCTCCTTCCCTTTGTTAAAGATGGGCACTATATATGTGCCTTTTTCCAATCGTCCAGGACCTCCCCCGATCACCATGAGTTTTCAAAGATAATGGCCAATGGCTCTGCAGTCACATCAGCTAACTCCCTCAGCACCCTCGGATGCATTAGATCCGGCCCCATGGACTTGTGCATGTCCAGCTTTTCTAAATAGTCCTTGAGCTGTTCTTTCACCACTGAGGACTGCTCACCTCCTCCCCATACTGTGCTGCCCAGTGCAGCAGTCTGGGAGCTGACCTTGTCTGTGAAGACCGAGGCAAAAAAAGCATTGAGTAGTTCAACTTTTTCCACATCATCTGTCACTAGGTTGCCTCCCCCATTCAGTAAGGGTCCCACACTTTCCCTGACCGCCTTCTTATTGCTAGATTGGCCTAATCTAGAACTGTAATTAATATTCTCAGTAATAGATCTACAGGACATTAATTTTAGTTGCTCTCTTCAATAGGATCATCCCGGTGATGGGGATCTAGAGCTTGATGCAAAGCCCTTTGAAGTCAGTGGGATTCTTTCCATTCATAAAAAGTACCTGTCGACTGCATGGTGGCAAATACATGGAGTTGGCAGATCAACAGTAGTAATAGATCTGAAAGAATTCATCCACCACAACTTTTATTTCTCTCCACCAGGCAGAATAGAAAATGCCTCCAAAATACCATAGTTAATAAAATCTCTTACTTTACATTTGCATTTTATTCCATGTTAATACAGTGACTATAGAAATTATATGGCTGAAATCTATTAGCTGTTGTTTCCTCCATAAATGGTACTATTTATCATTCATTAAAGTAATGAACAAACATCTAGTGGTCTTTAGATTAGCAGCTAAATCATCGCATATTGATAAAAATATAAATTTCCTATGTATTTATTTGTTTGATAAAATGTAATGTGTATTTTTTTTAAAAAAGACAAAGTAAACATTAAAATATAAAAATGCCCAATTTTTGTGGTATTTAAAATGATCTTACAAAATATGCTCAATCTATTGTAACATATTCTTTAAAAATTGTTTTCCAATATATGTCTCTGATCTTTTTATAAATTTCCAAACTGGTACTAGTGACCTGGAGAATTCTCTGGTAAAGAAATTAATCTTTACCTTTTTTTGTTGTTGTTCTGTGTTTGTACAGCGCCTAGCGTACTGTTTGTCCTGGTCTCTGACTGGGGCTCCTAGGCACTATGGAATTATTATTATCATTCTTTACACAGAAGGAATCACACGATACGTCTCTCCATTGAAGACTCAAGTGAAATCCTGGACCCATTGAAGTCAATGGCAAAATTCCCATTGAATTCCATGGGGCAGGATTTCACCCTGAGTGTAGTCATTTTCAGTTTCTTTGATAGATTTAGCAAAAAGAGGAATTAATCTGTATGAATAGGAATTGTCACTCCTAATCTATTGACTAGCAGTATTTACTTTGATTCCACAGGAAAAAGAGTAGTTTTAGCCAGAATCTTTTTAACAAGGGCCTCAACTATCTACTGCTATGTTATTTTACCATTTTTAAGGCTGTTGGCCCAAGTGCTTAGTTTTCAAATTATTTTCTGTGCTAAAAGAAAAGATGCCCTTCTCTAGTTATGACACTTACAATTGGGTCAGTCCCCAAATAGGTGATTTGTATCAGGACTTTCTGGTATTCGCCACAGTTATAGTAACTTTAAAGGGTTTTCCATATTTTCTAAATCTAATTTTCATTTAATTGTCTAATCTTATTTAAATCCATCAGCTTGGTGGTGAATTTATTCACAATAACAGTAATGCCATTGCTTTCTTTCCTTAAGTCCAAGCCTATTGTTGAATTGTTAACACGTACTTGAAACATTTTATCAAACATATAATAAACACATGGAAAATTATTTTTTCTGTACAAGTAGACATATTTCAAATATCCTGAAATGACCATTTTTGGACTTCTGTTTCCAAATTACAAATATGTCACTATCAGATAAATGTACTACTGCAATATTTCTGTGGAAAAATGACTTCCTGAGGCCAGGTCGAAAAATAATTTCTGTGGATTTTCCAAAGCTTCTGAAACGTTGTGTAAATCAGTTACTTGCTGTGTTTGCAAAACCTCTAAAATAGTATGCTTGCATTAAATCCAAATCCATCTACCAAACAAAAAAAAAAGATAGAAGTTGTGCTTTGGGTCAGGCAAAGATAATAGATGAAAAATCATAAAGTTGCTAGTACTTGAGGAAAAATCTCTTAATTGGAAATAGAATGCCCATGTGCCAGCATTTGTTTATCTTCCAACATGCTCAATGTTATTGATCTGTAGCCAACTCTGACTATGAAAGGTAAGTTCAGTAAGATGCATTTTCCATTAGTAGAAAATGTACATTTGATTATTGTTGTTACGTTTGTGCACTGCTCGTATCTGTTAAGTTAGATACTTATTAATATCCCTGAATACTTGGTGTTGTCTAGATAGGAAGTATTTTAAAAAGGGAATATATTAATTAATTTTAGACTGCTTTCATATAATTTTTGGGGCCATAGTCTGCCCCCCTCATCTGTGGTGAGTACCCATAAGTAGTTCCATTTGAAGTAAATGAGACTATTACAAGACTAAGGCATTACTCAACATAAGTAAGAATTGCAGAATCTGAGCCACTGTTTTTAAGGATGACAAGAAAATAATTTTTATAAACTCTGTATGTTAATTCAGAATGATAAATCACGAATGATCTGCAGCATGGTATGTATCCTGTTTAATCCCAAAGTCATGCATTGACATGAGCTAGTAAAACATGTGCTGTATACAGAATGATTCTTTCTTTGCACTGTATGTTGCAAATAAAAGCTGGTGAGCTTGCTTTTTATTTAGTCTGACCTGATATCTAAAATAAAACCCAAGGAAACGACTGACGTATGTAATATATTGTTCAAAAACAGATCACTGTGATGAATTTTAAAATGTAGGGTTGTGTTTGGGACTGCGCAGTATTATAAGGTATCTGTGACACTGAACTAGCCTCTGAGCTCCTTTGGCTATTCCAGCTACCCCTCTCTGCTTTTCTTCTCCCATCTTTTCTTGATGCTCCTCTTTTCCTCCCTGTATCTCTCTGACAGTATTCCAAACACCTTGTCGTACCAAAACCAGAGCTGTGCTGCTTGGACTAGCAAACTGGCCTTTGCAGTCGGGGAGCTCTCACTTTGGATGTTTTTTTTCATTAGTAATATTTTTGAAAAGCTAATAATGGGCATTTAAATATTTATGTTCAATTATAAGGTATGTGATATGCAAAAGAATTGTTGTATTAGGTTTTACTTTGCCTTGGACTTAGAGACAGTAGATTTACATCAGAGAGTGCCTGATAGCGGAGAATATTGTGGTCTGGAATTAATTTGGGCAAACAAACATCATAGTCAGATCTATTTTGCATTTTTTTCCCTCCTCCTCCCCATGCAAATAAAGCACTTCTGTAAGAAATTCATAATTGATCCTACAGTGCTTTCTTGCCTTTTTAGAGAAAATTACACCAAATGGATTTTATGCCACCTTTTTTTTCTTCTCTTTTTCCCTGCCCCACTTTATTGTTCAGTGGCTGCTTGAGGATGATGAAGAGATGCATTAATGTTTGGAATGCTTCAGTGGGAATGCAGCTTTTATTTCAATTACAGATCTTTATTATTTTTGATTTGAATCATACCCTTTTACTCCACCACCCTTTCTGCTGAACTCTCTGTAGTTAGTAAACTTAAGGTTGACATAACCATAGGGACTATAAGGTGCTGTGTGCCTCCTAAGAAGTGCTGAACACTATCAGATCAAATTGAAATAAGTGGGAGTTGAGGGTACTCAGCACCTTACAAGATCAGAGCTATATGAAAAGCAGAATTGATGGACTTTGGGGTTTTTCATTTGCCTTGGGAGTGAAATAAGTAGGCATTAAGTACAACATTCATGTTTTATTACCCCTTGGATCCTATTTTTAAAATTTTTTAAGACTTTATTTAATTTTACAAATATCTGAATTTTCTGAACTGATGGTTCATGTACCATGTGTTTATTGGAATAGTTAAGCCAGAGAATGACGTGAATGTGACAGTGTTGTTAATTTCTGAGATAGGTAAATATCTAGTATTAGAAAGAAGGCATAGCACAGTGAGAAATGTTACAATAGCTTTGTTTATTCATACTATTAATGAAAAGCAAGTGGGGCCCTTTGAAAATGTTTAGAGACATCTTGTAGGTTATTTGTTTTCCTAAATTGCTTGATTACGTTTCCCTTGTCATGAATGAAGTGGTTGGTTCTTATGTCTTTCTTCCCGTAATCCTTTATCGCAGGTCCTAGTGCCACCAATCTTATAATAGGTTCCATCGCTGGTGCCATCCTGGTAGCAGCTATTGTCCTTGGGGGGACAGGATGGGGCTTTAAGTAAGCAATGCCGCATGTCTTCTCTTCAGTGGCTATGGCATTTCTATTTTCTGCTTACATCACTAAGTTTTGAGTTCCTGCTACAAGACTCAAAGTGAAAAATACTGCTTCAAATAGTTACACTTGCACTGAAAAAGAGAAGAAATGTAAAAAAACACAGATGTCACCAGAGTGCAAAGTTGGAGAACAGTAGTATACGTGGATTAACCTTCATGAGATTATAGAAAACAACTCCAAAAGTGAAAAAAGAAATACTTTTCTTCTCATGAAGAAGGTCTAGCCATCTCCCTATATCAATATTATTTTGGCATGCTTCGCAGAGAGTGAAACATAGTGGTAGGAAATCTAAAGGTACATTTTGAAAAATACATGAACACTGAAGTTGTGCACAGCAATGCTTGAAAACTGATACAAGGCTGCTCTGTGTCTAACCAAGATATGAAGTATGCTATAGAATTTGTTCTGAGTTTTTTGACAAAATGTCTTTCTTTCAAAAATGCTGATTCATTGAAACAGAAACCTTTCATGGGAAATGGGCAGTTTCAAGAAATTTCCAATTTTGAAAACATTTTGAGGAGGATGTTTGACACTTTCAAAATGAAAAGTTCTATTTAGAAATTTAAATTAATTTATAGTTTAAAAAAGATAGAAAACAAAACACTTCAAAATTATTGAAACAAAAGTTTTAATTAACTCAAACTGATTTTTTTTTCAGATTATCAGTTCATGAAAATTTTTAAAGATTTTGACTTTTTGTCCATGATTTACAAAATCTTGGATTTTTTTCTGAGACAAGAAAACTGATTCCTGCCCAGCTCTAATATATTAACATTGATTGACATGAAACATATATTGAGCAAAGTTCATTCCAGGTGTAACTTCCATTAACCAAAATGGAGTTATATTTTGATGAATTTGGACTATTATATGCTTTTCCTTGTAATGTCAATTACACACATCCTGTCCATATCAAACTAGCACACTAGGTCTAAATTTGGAACTAGTGTAAATCGGCAAAGCTCCACTGACTTCTGTGGAGTTAGGTTGATTTACACCGACTGAGGATCTGGCCCCAGATGTTTAGCACTACCAAAGGTGGTGATAACACTCACCAATCTTGCAGTCAGAGAAGACAACTAAGATTGTGGCTGCTTTTTTGTGCATCCATGAATGGCAACAACTATTGACCCTTAATTGTGGGCTTGATTGAAGATTACTTAAAATGTACAAATTAAAAAAACACCTGTTTAAGATCTTAAATCTTTGACAATGGGTAGTCATAAAAATTACACATGTATTTAGAAACACAATATTTAGAAAATAATTTCCTTTCTTGCATACTACCCAACACCAGATTTCAGGATTCTAAGTATCTCCTGCAAAAGCCCATTACATCAAATCATCTAAAGCTTTGTAAGAAATACAGCTGTGTACTGTTTTCAGTGTTCTCTTCTAGGAGAAATACAACCTTGTCCTCAAATCTTGGTAGGTTAGAAAAAAATCTGTTTCCTTTTAAAACCTATTAATTTGTCATGTTAATGCTACACCACATTTATATTCCATTGGGGCAAGTCTTGTCTCCATCTCTATGGGTGCAAAGGGCTCTTTTTAAGCATTGTGATTGTCAGGATTGTAGAGTCCAGTTCCATGGGAGCAGTTTATGTACTGTTGGACAGGGTAAGGCTGGATGATAGCCAGGCTGGAGTCCGAAAAGGCTACTCCTACTCCAATTTACTATTTGGCAGAGGCAGAATGGAAGCAACCTGGATGATGAATACATCCCAACTTTTGCCATTGTACACAAATGCTCAGCCAGGTTATTCCAGCTGGGAACACGATGCAAGCAGTAATCACTGAAGTTCTTAAATAGTTTTTTGTATTTATTGATTTTATATTTTTTTAAAACCACTTCAGATCAGCTATAATAAGAACCAGAAATCTAGGTTAAATATCATTGCTTTGCGTGCTCAAATACTACAAGGGAGGTGATATCCAATCTGTGTAAAAAAAGATTATTTTCCTAATCTCTCATTCACAGTTTCCTCAGGAGTGGTATACAAAACCCACTAGAATTAAGGTGGTATGATAGCTGCTCAAAACTAAATGAAATTAAAAAGGAAGAAAAGGATAGTTAAAAATACTTGATTCAGTCCATGCTTTAGACATGAGCAAAAAAGATTCCCACTTGCCTGTTTATAATTCTTTTTTTTACCAAACTGTCAGTATATTAGAGTTTAAAAACAAAATTCTGCCCTCATTGTTTTTTGTGCTGCCTATTAATGTCAATAGCTTTGGATAAGTGTGAGGGCAGAATTTGGCCCCAAATTAATGTCTTCCTTGTAAGATAGTCTTAATGATGACCTGTATTTGTTCATCAAATTTTCTCACAAAACCACTTCTGACATTGAGAGTTCCACACATTTAAAGATGGAATAATGTGACTCTTTGTTACTTATGACATTCAATGCATGGGTTAAAAGCAGAACAATAGTTGAGGTATGTATTTTGGAGTATACAGCTACTGGTCTGATTTACAGCCCTTTGCAAGCAGACTCGCCATTGAAGTAATTGGGGCTTCTGCAAGCAGAGAGACTGCAAGATTGCTTATAATGTATAAAGGCCTAGTCTGTGAAACATTAATTACTGTTCACAATCTTTTGTTGCATATTGTGTTATGTTGGTGTACTTTGCATCTTATATAGCACAGGTTCTATTAGATGCAAAAGTATAAAAGAAAAGAAGTCATAAAAATTACACATGTAAGAAGCTGTTTGCATTAACATAGCATATACCTTCTATAGAAATATGGAATGTAGAGAACTTATTTTAATTATAGTGTTGTTAATTCTGTTTAGGAACTTGAGCCAAATTCTACACATACAAGTAATGTTAAGTCTGTCCTTCCCTCCACTTGTGGACTATTTTCCTGGGAATTAACACAGTGGGAGTTACATGATTGAATGACAGTATACGCCTCTAGATCTGTATTTGGCCATTAGACACGTGCCACTCCCAGTGAAGTAAATGGGAGCCATGTACATATATCCACGTGCAGATGTTTGTGCTCAGCCCTAAAAATATATATTTTGGGATGCATCTCCAGTAAAAAATTGTTTAAAATGTTGTGTTCCGGGGCATATCCTTTTAAATGCAGACCTACAAACTCCTTTAAAGATTGATCTTGTGATCTTGTGTGATAGTGGCTTCTGGATACTAGTATGGTAAACCTGGATTCAGGAAAGCATCCTTGTCCAGGACAGCACTTGAGCATATGCTTAACATACTTGCTTAAAGCAGTTAAGTGCTGTCCTGAATGGGGTGAAGTTAAGTTCACACTTAAGTGCATTCCTGAATCAGGGCTTTAAATAGTCCAATTCTGGCTTAAATCAAACAATATCAATTGCTTTTCTTGGTATTGTCAACATTTTTTTTTTTTTTTGTCCAGCACAAAACTAACCTGCTCCCCATCACTTAAATCACCGATACAAATGTTCCACTTTGCATCCTGCATGTCTTTCTGTCATACAAAAATATAAAAGTATTTGGTATCCCTGTATGAGTAAGCTCTCGTATTGAAAATATCAGTTCAATATTTTAAAAAGAGCAAGATATGAATATTTATTCTGTAGCAGAACCTCAAATACAATGGCCTGGCCTAGCTCACAGCTTGAAGTGCATGTTTTTGGGGGGCAAATTGAAAAGGCTTTTTCACTTGTATGTGGAAGAAGGCTAGCACAATATAGGGCCTCTCACACTTTGCTTCCAGATTTTTTGTAGGATGTCCAAGACTAATAGAATGGGTTTTAATTTTCCTTTTAAGCAAGTGATGTTTCTGTCTTTAGTAATATGAGAAGAAGTAGCCAATATTTTACAAACTAGGAGATGTGATTTTTGTTCCACAGGTTATCAGGTGTTCACATGCACATACGGTACTGTGGTGTCAAGTCCAAATCAAACGTAAGCTGCAATTAAGCAAATTTTGTTCATGCACTTAGTGGGTCAGTTTGGTATAAATTAGCAAAACAAAGTTTTTCTTTAAAGAAATAAACAAACTAGGATTTATGTTTAGACATTTTCTGGAAAGATATGGCTAAAAATAGGAAAGAAAAGATGTTGTGATCAAGTCTCAGTAAAATGTTCAGTGCACATAGATCTTAAGGAACATATTTAGTGAATTTGAGTTAAATGCTGCTAGTGAGCACCCTGTTAGGAACTATATTTTGTTTCACAGAAAACCTTGCTTAATATTTTGACAAAGTTGTAATTGTTTTTTGTACTGCTGTAGTGTTTAGGGTCCCCTCTCATGGGTCAGGGCTGCACTGTTCTAGGCACTCTGCAAACACATAACCTGCATTGATGGTGAAGTTCACATAATGGCAGCAGGTCCATGGAGCGCCTTTCAAACCATTACAATGCTTCATTAAGGACTAAAGTGGAAGCAGAATGAGGGGTTAGTTAATGTGGGCAGTCTTGTATGGGCCCTCTGAATTTCACATTTAGGCCTAGTTTCCAGTTCTTTTTAATATAGAATTACTTGACAGTAGTGAATGTATAAGTGTGTAGTTTTGGTACAGTAACGAATTCAGTTGCTTTTTTAAATGCTGGCTTGATAGTTTGTTACATTTTGAAAGGGGATACTTGGTAAATAAATAACAATATTAAGTAGTAGTACTGGTAAGGGCTAAATTAAAAAGGTATGTGGGAAGTTCCTTTTGAGACTGCTTAATAGTCCTCAGAATGTGGAATAGACTAGTAGGGGAGGTGCTGTGGTGGGTAAAAATGTATAGGCACAGTATTATTCCCAGTAATATCTGCTAAAAAACAGAGCTTTCCTGCCAAGTGGAGGGTTACTAGTTGGGCCAAATATTTACCCAATCCTTAAACTTCTGCATAAAGGCAGCTTTAGGAATTCAAATTGAGCCAAATCCTGTATCCTGTAGATGCTGGAAAGTCAAAAGTGATCAGAAATGCTGTTTCTGTTGTGGTGTAGGGCAATACAGTAGAGAGCCTGTGCAGTGAGATTCTGAAACCTTGTGTATGCTTCATATAGGAACTACATACCAGCTCACTGGTTTGTCAGTAACATCTATTTTTCTTTCCACTCTGCATTTCCTTGCAAAGTGTGTGCAGTGGGTCCATGAGCAGCATGAATCCACCTGCTCAAAATCAAATAACATTCTATGTCTACTACTATTCCTCATGCCAACAGATGGCAACAGGCTAGCTAAGCAGGTGCCCTAGACTCTGTCACTGTTTTGAGGCCGATGATCCCATCCCCCAACTTTGTTGTTTTAATTTTCAGTTTCACATAGCAACAGCCCGGTTATTGTGGGTTTGCTCAGTTTTTCAAGATCTGGTATGGGGAAACTTTACAGAAACATTACTGATTTGAAGGGACTGTGCAGTCATTGGAGTAACCCTTAATTTTTTTTGGCAAGACTTTGTGTTTCTGTGAACATGGAGGAAGGCACCGACTTACAAGAACACAATCAACTGCAATAGCAACACTAGTAGTTAGCTGCTACTAAAATAGGCAGTGTGTTTGTGCATTAGTTGCTGTGTTCTTCTCAAAACACTTATAAGCAAAGAGGAGAAAAAAGAGGATACATTAAAACTATAATAAAAGATTGGGGTAGCAGTGGCTTTATTTTGTATATTTATTTTTGCAAAGAATGAACTATGCCGTCAAAAGGTTTAAAAGCAACTATCCTAAATGGAATGTAGGAGATTATTACTTTGCACTGTGGCTTGTTATAGTTATGCTATGAGTATTTTATTTTTAACAGAAGTAATAGTTGTGTTTTTTTTTTATTCAGAGCTAATGGAGGCTGAACTTTTATTACTGTGAATTATTGAAACTGGAATTAAATGTAAAAAAAAAAAAAAAACAAGTTAATTCTCTGTTAGAGTTCCATGGCTAAAACGGCACCAAAAACAAGTTAAGAAGTTAAGATGGTGGCCTCAGCATCACTCTCTGTAGCGTGACCCTTCCCCCAGGGACTCATCTCCTCTGCCTCATGTTGGTGTTTACTGCACTAGTGAAGGCACCCACACTGTTCTTCCTCCCTCCTCTGGCCAATGAGCATGTGTGGACCTGGAGCCTTGAAGAAGGGCCACTGCTTGTATGTGCTGGAGGAGGAAATATGGAGCCCTAAACAGTAGCCTCTTGTGGAGTGAAAGGGAAGTGGTCTTAGTGCTTCTGCCTTTTGCTGCTGAGGAAGAATGAGCAGAAGGGGCCAAGAGGGAGTCCAACAGAGCAGCCGTTGCTAGCAGACAGGGAGCACATCCATCTCCCTGAAGCAGCAATGAAGCCAGGTGAAGTTCCTGTTAGGGTATGTCTATACAGCATTTGGATCGAGCCTCCCAGCCCCGATCAACAGACTCCGGCTAGCAGGGCTTGTGCTAGTCCTTTAAAATGCTGGCAATGCATCTATTTTTAAAGTTGCCACTCAGATTGGATCTCGGGCTCCGAAGCCTAGGAAAGGGGGTCAACCCTGACTGGGAGGCTCACTCCAAAATGCTGTGTAGAGATACCCCTATTGGCCAGAGAGGGGTGGCTGCTTTCAGTATCTCAGAACAGCTATTCCAAGAGGCAGGTGAGCCAACCAGCAGTGAAAGACCACACACCTGTCAATCCTAGCCTGGCCTGTCTCCCACCTCCTCAAGATAGGGCCCAGAAGATCTACTCTTCTGTGGTAGGCCAAATTCTGCACTCAGATGCACAAATTTGTGTTTTCTTCAGTGGAATTCATATGCATTCATTTGGGGGAAGAATGTGACTGAGTTTGTGTTTAGTTCTGGGGAACTTAACATTTAACAAGGCATTGCTAAAACTAACGATCTTCCAACATTTCCATTTGAAACCTCTGTTTTAAGTATTTTACAACTCCGCTATAAAAATGGTTTGCACTTCGATATACATCTTTTCTGCTAGTAATTTGTTTTATAATCGGAAGCTGTTTCACATTTTTGAAGTTACAAAAATATAGCACAGTAGTCTTAGATGTAATTGGATGTTAATGGCACCTTTAGTCCATTATATGAACTGGGATTTATATATAAAGGGCTAACACATGCTTTGAAGCCATAGGCTGCAACTGGGGCGAGTGCAAAGCCGCACTGCCACATTGGAGCTCCTGAGGCGTCCTGGGACAAAGCACAGCCTCTGCAATTCCCTTTAAGAGAATGTGGCATGTGCCTCTCCACCCTGACCGCACATAAGGCCTATTCTGCTGAGTAGCATGTGGGAGGAGCATGACTCTTTTGGGGAGTCTAGCGTTCCTGTGTGCGTTAACCCGATTGTCCTTCTGTGCTCTGACTGCAAGGACTGCATTTGTGCTCAGCCCTGCACTTGGTGTAGGGGTGAGGGAAACAATTATACAGCCAGGTGGGGATCTTGATATAGCAGGGTAGAGGGCTCAGCTGACTTCTGACCAGTGTTTACCAGGAAGGTTTATATAATATGTTTTTTTTTAGCAATGCTTGGAGCTTAGCTATAATGGAGGATTAGCAGAATAGTGTAGGAAATTCATTATGATAAATTGCTACACTTTACTTGGCCCATGAATAAATGGCGATCCTTCAGTAGTAATATTGTTAGTTCCCTTACTTATAGTTATGACTTTTTTGGGGGAGAAAACCGAGATTTGTTCATCCGTTTGCAGTTTTTTAAATGGACTAGTATCTTCATCTCAACATATAATGTGTTGTGAGTAGAGATGGGGTTTTTAGTGGTTAGAGCATGTGACTGTCAGGAGGCCTGAATTCTGCTCTCAGTTCTGCCACTGGCTTATTGTATAACCTTGGGTGAGATAATGCTATCCAACTTAGTTAAGCAGTTTGAGATATTCAGATAAGTATTACGTAAGAGCAAGGTGCTGTTATTTCTTACCAAAAAATTAATATGCAAAAGTGACTTACTGAACATCAAGCATAGTGTATTTCAAAAACAGTTTTGTATGCTCATTTTGAATGTCACATTTAGATCCCTACACCCTTCATTTTCAGGCATGACAACTTTGTCAGACTCTGATATTGTGGAGAAAACAGTTGTTACTAATGATTGACCAGAGGAAACATAACATTTTGATGTAACATATTAAGAAAATACTGAAAAAGAAGAAAGGCATTAGCTGAGTTAATTTTTTACCTTTGGAAGAATGTATTTTCATTTAATGAACTGTAGGGCATGATCGAAATAGATTTGTGGCTTTGAAATAGACCCTAGAAGACATTTGATATGATGTGGGCTGTGGTACAGTTCCACAAGAGTTTGGCAGTTGTTCCAAAGTACGTCCATCACTGCTCAGAGACAGTACTAGCAGGACTATGCTGCTCAGGAGTACTACTCTAGCAAGGGGTCAGTTGGAAAGACCTGGAGGGTTATATTGGGAGGCTAGCAAAACATGTTCCCACTGTAACTTCGTACTAAATGTCACAGAGCCCACTCATCAATTTAATAGAAAAACTTCAGGCAACACATTTGACTTTAAGTATAGGCTTTTAGTGGTTTGTTCCCTTAAAAATAACAGGAATGCAAACATTCAACGGACGGTTAAATCATCTGAATTTTTCACACATATTAGTGATCTGATTTTTCAGATTTGTTTTAAAGGTAAATAACTGTTGGTTAGTGGAGTTTGAATTTCAGTATGCTGTGTAATAAAAAATAGTCATTTAAAGCACTGCTTTTCATACACCATAGAAAAAGAGAGAAACTGACAGAGAGAGTAAGTCCAGACAAGTTTTGATTCAGATTTAAATAGTCAATATTATTCAGACTTCCTACTATACTATTCTACATCTGACTAGATCTACTCAGAGGGTATGAATGCTACAGAGATTGCTGGGTTGATATATCTAAATAGTGCAGTCAGTTTGAGTCACAGTGAAGATTAGTACAACACTTTTCTATAAAAAGGGAAACAATGAAATTTTAAAAGCCTATAACTCTTACGCTGCATGCCTTAATAACAAATACTCAAGCAGGCACTGGCACAAGATCAAAGGCTGCCAGGTCCTCTGAAAGACCTGTCCTGGATAACTTTTCTTTTTGCACTGATTCCTAAGTCACCTATACAACTTAGGAAAGGCTTGCTTTCAGCTTTAACACTACAGCAATGGTGGTATTGGGAGAGCACAGTCAAAAAGGAAATTTTGGGCTTTGTGTATTTAATTTTTAATTCCTGTTCTATGTCTTTTGCATGACAATTTGGTGGCAGTACTGGTGCACATGCCCAATGTTAAGACTAAATGCATGAGCCCCTTGCTTGATGCCCCACATAAAGCCAGATTATGGGGAGGTTGCACCCAACTTGTGCTGTTGCCTTGTAATGTCTTGCTGTTTATTGATATAGGGTATCAATATCGTAGGAGACTGGACATTAGTATAAAAGCTAAATTGTAATGGCATAATTAAAAGTCTCTGTCCATTCTCCTTCGACTGCAGTGTCTCAGTATCTGCTATATTTTGTACCTTATTGGAGATTCAAAGTGCTTTGTCCATAGTATGGTAAAAGCTCACAGAGACACTAAGATAGCTTGGTCAACTATAAAATTATCTGTGGATTCAGTGTAGCCACTCAAAGATGGATACCTGAGGGGGCCTGGTCACCTCATTTGTGGAAGATCTATGTTTTGGAGATTAATGAGTATCTGTTATAAACAGCCAGATGCCTTTTTGCATTTTAAGAGTGATTTTGTATATGAAATGTGACTGTTTTGAGTGGTTCCAAATGATGTACAAATGCTGTCCTGGCTTAATGTATAGATATGTCAGACAGTCTGAAAGACTTCCCATCTAAATAGGATTGACTGCCACTTGCAGTACTGCCAAAAAAAAAGTTAATTATATACACTGTCTAGATTTAACACATGCAATTTTAAACTTCATAGAGACAGCAGGAATTGATACTGTAATACAGTGTGTCCAAACCCTCTCAAAGTCAAATCATTACAGTTACTTCACTCTAAGGTTAGTTTGTGAGACTACCTCAAAGTGAGCTTACTACTTTACTATGGTGTTAGCACTGCTTCTCTCCCATTATGCCTAACTAATGTTTTATGTTTTTCCTCCTCATTTCATCTCCTTTTGACGCACGTTGGAAGAAATGTCAAAAAGAGAAGGTACGATCCAAATCAGCAAGGTCCTATCTGAAGGAACTTAACTGGAAAAGCTTCTTCTTGCACTACTGGATTCTGGGTGTGAAGTCTTTGCTGTCACTGTGCAGGAACTCAATCAATAAAGAAGAACATTAGAAATGGTAATGACTAAAGTTGAGTTGCTGGGGATGGAGTGAAGGAACACTGTCTTTTTTGGAGATAAGTTCAAATACTCCCTTCCTTTCATCTTTCTCTTAAAAAAAAAAAAAAAAGACAGTGATGGACAACTGTTTATTTTTTTGTTTTGTTTTTTCAACGAAAGAAAGAAGGGGGCAAACCAACCAAGTGCAATAAGAGAACTGTTTCAAAATAGTAAAATAGAAGATTTTTTTCCCTAGCCTGCTGGCACTCTAACTTGAGTTCGCATGACTTTTTTTTTCATATTAAATGACAAACTCCAGTGGCATGAGCAGCTAATTTTGGAAAGGGTAAATTGCATGGCATATATACACCAAACAAACAAGCTAGCAAGCCGACCCACGCAAGATCTGCACCCAAATCTATACAGAGAAGAAAACAACAAAACACAGAACGCAGAGGTGGTGATATTAGGCTCTTCTTATGAAATCTTCTTCCACCAGTGCAGTGCATTCTTTCTCTCTGGAGAGAAAGCTCCCTATTCTGTGGATTCATTGTCCCTGTTCTTTTACCTCCTGGACTAAAATTCCTTTGGGTATGGGAGCTATTGTTTTTGAGCAGTGATAATGTATAGTTCTATAGAAAGAAAAAATGTATATATGGAAATAAGAGATTGACATATCATTTTCACGGACCTTATTGAAGGATTTCCTTAGAAAGGTTCTATTCTCTATGTAAATCTATTTTTGGTGGTTTAATTTTGCTCCCCTTTTAATCTTTCTAGCATGTTGTATAGCGGGTGTTCTGGGCTTGCTCAAAAAAGGCAGATGTAGCATGCAGATCCAGGGAGTTCTGGCACCAAACAGGTGTGATCTAAAGTTTGTATGCTTGAAACCAAAAAACAAACCATATTAAAATGTGTAAATGCATATGTATTTAATAAGTCTCTTTTTGAATTACTTTTTTGGCTGTCATGCGGATTTTCTGTATATAATGTAAGAAAATTGACACCATCTCAAATTAATCACGAAAGTGCCAAGTTCATATCTTTTTAATTTTAACAACTATTTTCCTCTGTCTAGCTTTTTCAAGTGAAAGGAAAACAAGCTTAAGTAAGCCTTAAAATATTCACAAAATGCTGAAAGCTTGAAACAGGCTAAGGCTTTCCCATTTAGTCTCCGTTTTCCCACCCATTCTCCTCTCTCCCTTCCTGGCAGACTTGCAAAGATGATCCAAACATCCAAGTCACTCTGAGTTTCCCTCTTTAGTACCTATCACCTTTCAAAGTACAATCTGGAGAGCTACTATTTCTGCTATGGATGGTTAGTATCACTCTTAGGGTTTGTTCAGATTTCACTTCCGAGGGCTGGCACATTAATGCTATTACTTGTATGTTCACACATGGGGCACAGTCCAGTCCACTGACAAAGTGGAAGGGCTCCCATTAACTTAAACAGGCATTGGACTTGGGCCTTGGTGAACTGAGCAAATAAAAGCTTTAGAGCCTGTTCATAATTCTCCTTACTCTGAATACACTGGAATTACCTCTTATTGATATTAGTATAAATGAGAGGGAGTTAGTCCTATAACTCAAACTCCATTTAGGTCTTATATTTCATTTTCCTGACTTTCATTTTCCTTGTTCAAATCTTGAGTCAGTTTCTGGATTTAGCTTTAAAATTAACTGATGGAAATACTAGGAAAAAATTAGTGTTGCAATTACTATAATTTTTTTTTTTGCTTTGTTCAATAAAACATTTTTGCCTCCAAACATATTTCAAACTCTGACAATATCCAATCTGAAAGAGAAGTCTTTCCCATGAAAACTATATTGTTTTGCAGTCAAGACAGTTATTTGTCAAATGATGTTTTAGATAACGTGATTTTGTTAAAGCTACCACTGTTATTGCATTATGAGTAAGAGGTAGTCTGTGTTGATATAGATCTACTCCATATTGTGATAACAGGGCTATTTACAGCATTATTTCAACATTATCTGACTTCAGGGCAAGAGTTTTGGTTGTATTAATGTTCAATGACAATGAATACTTGTAATTTTGAGGGGAACTCAAAGTACTTGTGTTGTAATATTGCCCACTGGTACTATGTTACTTATTTCCACTTTGCTACTGCATATGGAAGGTATAATTACTCTCTGGCAGGTACTAAACTGCACATTTTGGTTCTACTGCAGAATCAATGTGGTAACTACAGTAGAAATGCCACTGTGGTTACAAAATCAATTAGGTGTCTAATGTAACTACCTGTATAATAAAACTTTGATGATAAGCATTTCACAAATAACATTGTAAATGTGCGATGTGATGTTTTTAATCAGACCACAGTGGTCCCCAAATATTATGTACATATGGTAAGTGTTGGTGTAACTTTTTGTTACTCCAGCAGTTTCATAGGAAATATGATTTCTTGACTGAATTTACGCTCCACTGTTTAGCTGTGTGCGTGTATGTGTAAAACACACAAGCATTATGCTCTGTATGTACAGGATGTAAATGACATCACATAACTCACAAAAGTGGATTCTAATAAATCTTTTCTGTGGTACTAGGGTTATGTAGTCTTAACCATTTAGCTAGATATTGTTGATTTTCTAAGCCATTCGTTTGCCACATTTAGTAGAGTACACATGCTACTTACGTTAATTTATCTTAACGAGTGTCAGAATTTAATATTAATAGAGTAAACATTAAGCAATGACGAGTCCCCATTTCACCCACTATATTTTTGCTCCATTATATGATTCATCTTGACAAGAAAATGTATGGTAACTATACAGCTCTTACTGGTATGCTGCATGATCCCACTGAATTGACCTAATCCTTTTATAAGAGAGCTCTATGAGGCAAATTAAATATACTGTAGGTGCATGTTAAAAAATAAATTACATAGAACTAGAGTTTTATAAAGTTTTCTTTACTATGCAAAGATGGGTATTGCACAAACAAAATTTAAAGACAAATGTCTGAGGAACTTTACAAAATAATACTTGAATTTATTTTTGTTTGAAAGCCTATCAACCATGTTTTATATTCATTGTTGCTTCCACTATTAATCTTCCTTTTTAAAATGATTTGTAAATATTTTTTAAGTGCACAATATGATGTTATGAGCCAGTTTTTGTTTGGAGTTAATGCTCATTCATATCTTGTTGGCTGCTGATGAATGGAAATTTAATAGTCATTGTTCTGCAACTCTTAGTAAAATGGTATTAAAAACATCATGAACATGGAATGTTGTAGCTTTGTTTTGATCATTTTTCTTCTTTATTATGTATGCTTATTTTATTAAATTCCCGTGTTCAGAATGTCACCAAGCTTGCAGGAACAATCAGAAGCCTCAATAAGAATCTCTGATTATAGATTCTGACCAAGATTCATCCAACCTCAAATGCTGAAAGATTCTTTCTAATTATTAGTTTCAGGTGAGATCTTTGCTTTTAAAATGTACAGACTTTCCCCATCAGAAGAAAAAACTGGGTGAGTGAGATCAGTAGAGATGTCAGTTCTAATCTCCTGCCCAGTGAGCTAAAACCCCATGAGTCTTACATTGTTCCCCCTGTGGAACTCCCATTTAAATCAGTGGGAGTTACAATGCTTCTGCATTCTCAGTTAGTTTAAAAATAAGATATCATCCTGACTTATTTTGCTACCAAGTCTTTAATACAGAGCCAGATCTAAATGAGGCATTGATGTATTTGTAAAGAGGGATAAAATGTTGGTCTGTTTATGAAAATTTACAATATTTTTGCTTTCAAGGAATGAAATCTTATGTAAGTACCATAAAAGCCAACATAATAAATTAGTGAATATGAATTAATTTCTGTCCTTGTTTATACAAGTGCAACTCCAGTGTAATCAGTGGAGTTGCATGCTTACAATAGAGTGACAGTTGGCCCTCTTATTGATATAATAATATAACAGCAAAGGAAATATTAGATGTATGACAGTAGTGTAAGAAGCTGAATGTCCTTACTAATTTCTTCAGTCCTTCATGGGAGAAGAGCATGGTTTTGTCTTAATGCTTCACAAATTATATAAATCAAATTTCTCATGCGAATAGTATATGGGTAAAATTCCCAAAGCTGCGGAAAGTGACAAAGAAGCCTAAGTCCCATTGAAAGTCAATAGTTTTCCACGTGTATGTAGAAGTCAGTGGAACAGAAGAGCTACTCCTGGGGGAATTCTGCACCACTGCACATGCACAAAATTCCTGTGCTGTGCAGAATTCCCCCCTCCCCCCGCCCCCCCCGCAGAAAATACATGCTGCCGGAAAGATGCTGCGGTTACGCCTTTTGCTAACAAGGGGCCGCTGTGGTGCCAGAACAGAGATCAGCTGCTCCTGAATCAGCCCAAGCTGCAGATAGGGAACAGAAGAGACTGTCTTCCTCACAGCACCATGCTTGTGAGGCCAGGTCAGGAGGCACAGGATATGGAGAGGACTGCTGGGGGGACACACTGGGGTGGGGGCTGAATGGGAGTGGGGGTGTAGGGACACATGGGGACATGGGGGGGTGCAGACATCTGGGGATGGGGATGAGGGGGCTGAGTAGGGGTACAGGAACACATGGGAATGGGGAAGGGGT